AGCGGCATCTTCCTGACCGCTGTCCGAAATGTGTCTTGGCGTGTCGGGTTGGTTGGGGCGGCCGGGGCGACGTGGGGCGCGAAGCGAAGGGCGCTGGCCGGGGTGGTCTGCCCTTCGTCCGCGTGATAGAGAGCAGTGCGTTCCATTAAAGTGCTGATAACGAGATAACGAGACGGCACAGCGTGTGTGGGAGGGACGCAGTCTCCAGTTGCTCCAGGCGAGGCTCGCACTGGAAACGAATTACGTGTAGTCCACAAGCCTTAAAACGCAATGACCGTCATTCAGGCGCGGGCTAGGGCTGTCATTTGAATGAAAAGAAAAATGCAAGTGTAGACTTTTATTATTTGTAGACAACAGATTTATATTTCACCGATAACTCCCACACACAATTATTAATAACTAGAGTGTCTTTACGCAAAAACACATTTATTTATTTACAGTGCACCTTTTCTTAACCTTTGAGCTTTAGAAAACTAGAAAAGGTCAGTACCTAAGGCAACAAAGGTAAAATCTACCTAGCATCAAATGATGATCAAATGTTCAATACACATCACAAGTTTACAAAGTATTGTATATCACAAGCAGTAAAAAGATTTTATCATCAACCTGCCCTAAAAATAACAGTACAAAATCTAAACACTTCATACTGCACAACTCTAAAATATATACATCTGGACATTCAAAGAAAACCTAGCACAATGTTTGTACACTTCATTTACACATTATTTTATGGATTTAAAATTATGCAACAATGAATGTTACGTACAAAATTAATCACTCACAACACAATACTTACACCCTTACAGAAAAATTAACACAAAAAAAGAAAATTTAAAGACAGTCACTTTGAGTAAGAATAGAGTTAGAAATAATCACTTGTAAATTTACACTTCTAAGACTTTGGGAGGTCTTTGATTTCGGTATAAACCATCTAAACATAAAGAAACCAAACAAACAAAAAAACAAAAAAAACAAAAACAGAAGTTTACCTCAATTACATACAAGTTGTCTACTGTCTCCCGCCGATGGGGTAAGGGTCCGCGTTGCTTAGAGTTCTCTTCTGCTCAGCGGCTGTGCGGTCGTCCGGCCCGACTGCCGAGTCCCCTGGGTTTACATCCTCCTCGTCGGCCACAGTCACCTCATCGTCGTCTATTTTGGGGACCTTGATGAGGCCATGCTCATCGGCCAGCGGCAGTAGGTCGCAGATGAGTTGTGACTCCACGTTCAAAATGTACTCACAGGTTCTAGGTTCCATGAGGTACAGGGCAACAGAACCGGGGCTAGGGCTTTGATCGGGGCACTTTAACTTGACCTGGACATGGAGAAAGAAGCACTTAAGAAACAATATTGGGGGAAAAAAGATAAACAAGGGAACACTCCCATTAAGTCACCTCGGTGTGTCGGGGGCGACCAGTCTTATCACACGGTGAACCGTTGGAGTAGAAGTGAGAGACATGCTTTCGGATCGCTTTAGGCTTGGGTTGCTTGTGGGGGTTCTGCTTGAGCCATTCAATGTGACTTTCAGCATTGAAAAATCCCAGTTGCACAGTTGTCTTGCTGCTAGTTGTCGAATCAATGTGGTACTGCTCTACATGTCGTCCATAGCAGAATTCATATTTCCACCATGAAGAGGACCCCTGCACATAAAGGAAGTTAGTGCTCGAGCTAGAGTTAGTATCATTGTACGAGATAAGGTAAGTGGCTTTTTACCCCAGTGAGACATTTCTTGCCAGATAAAAAGTCTTGAGCAGGAGTGGTATCAGCTGGGGTTCGTGAGTTAAGAAGAGGTGGACTGAGGGCATCCTCAGTGTCTAGCACTTCAACGGGAAGAATTTCCACATGGACTCGTTGCTCACCATCCTGGAATGAGACAAATAAAGCAAATTGGAAAAGTGTAGAAACGACCAACAAAGAAAATTACCCATGTTTGAACCAAAAGCTGTCTGGCATAGATATACAAGATTATATGATGGAGGAGTGTAGTGAGAGGCTGCTTTGAAGAAAATTAATAACTTATGTCTGCAGTTACAGTAAGCTTCATGCACTTACCTAGTAAAACTATTTCCAACCCTACACCATGATTTATACAAAACACATGCAGCAGATGTGCTCCAAGAAAAAAGACAACACAAAAAGGTCATGCGAGAGAACCAAACAAAGCATTCAGGTAAAATTTAGTTAATAAAAATGTCATGGTAGTTTTGATAAGCAAATAGTTTTGTGAAAAATAGACTGAGTTGTTTTTTTTTTTCCCATGGGAAGGACATCTTGATGAAAAAAGTTGCACATGCTTCTGAACTTGCTGTAGTCAGAGGGTCTCCACAATGGAAAATTCAATCTGCAAGTAGCAAAGTTACATAGAAGAAAGATTCTTTACACCAGAGAATACAAGTTTAACATGCATAACAGAAGATTTGGAAATGAGGAATAGATTTACACAACAGCAGTCTTTGAACCAAATGTGATGATGAAAATTTATAAGGCTTTTTGAAAAGTCAAGCTGAGGAAAGGAGGGAAGAGAATGAAAAAAGATGGGGATGCCGTTGATGAATGAAGAAGAATGAGGCAACAGATCAGCACAAAAGATGGAAGAAAATCATATCCTTTTAAAAATATAGATCAGGTATGACATAAAGCAAAGCACCCTGTTTTTTCCCAATCAACAACTTTAGTAAACAGTCATAACTTTTTCTAACATCACATTTTTTTGTTTAGAACAAGTTGACATAAAAGATAAAAGCTGAAAAAATCAAATGCTAATGAAGGTGCAGCCATATCATAGGCTATTTTAAGGAACAAATAGTTAAGTTGGTATAACAAAATATTTTCATTTTCATTTTCATTTTAACAAAGGATTGGGTTACACATATGCAGCAAAGTTCGAACAAAACAAACAGGACTGATCCTTCAACACCAACCTGTCCAACATCAACCGAAACAACTGCATAAGTTTTCTTCAGAGCATCATCCTGTTGAAGAAGTTTTTACTAATTAGTTACAAATCAATGTAAAAAGCCTAGGCTCTCACATAAAAAGCAGATGAAAAAGTAACTGAGAAAGTGGATTCTATGCAAAACTACAGTTCTACCGAGTGCCAGAAAAGGAGCAAGGTTAACAAAAACACTTCTTTCTTTAAGCTAAAAATTTTAGGTATAAACTGAGACACTCAAACTGTTTGACAAAAGTCCTTTCTTGGAAATAAAAACACTTCCTCTAGTTGGTCTTAAAATATTTCTGACACCTAATCTTAGTGGAAGAAAAATGAGATAGAGTTGAAGTTTTTCACTAACCACATGCGTCTGGGAAAAATTATATCAAACAAAAAAGCTTATCATGCAAAGCAAAAGGAAAGAAATCTAAGGACTCTGGTTCCGTATAATGCTTAGTATAATTAAAACTCACAGGAATTTTGGTGTGTCTCAACTTTAAGCTCTCAGCTTCCAGTTGAAGTAAATTCCTAGGTTTTTTGGGTGTCTCCTCCAGCGCATGGCAGTTTATAACATTTTCACTAGTTGATTGTGGTCTGGGAGGGGATAAAAGAGGGATTCAAGCCAAGAATTGAGACAAATAACATACCAACACAACCAACATAGTAAGAAAGCAACTTACTTATATTTTGGATGGTCACAGAGGAGTTGAGAAAGAACAATAGCTTCATATTCACATATAGAAGTTTCTTTAAAAGAATATACTTCATGTTTACCAGTTTGATAACAGACATAAAGAACATGAGTGGTACGAGTCTTTCCATTCAAATCACACAATGTACCATCTGTCATATTGATTTGGAAATATGGAAGATTCAGACCATCAATTTTCTTGGTGGGTAAATCTTTTGAAAAGAAAATCTTATCTCCATTTTCATCAGTCTTTTCAAGTTCTTCATCTGAAAATAAATTGAGAATTGAGTAATGAAGAAATATTGAAAAATGGTCTGCGCATTGATTTCAATTTTCAATCAGATACTAACGAAGCAGTTGGTTCATGTCCTTATCCCATCGGCCCAAATAATACTCTTGTAATTTGGCTTTCTTGCCCTCTCTTTCCTCATGGTATTGTCGGACATAACGTCCATGGCATATCTCATAAGTCCAGTAAGATTCAGGCTAGAAACATCCGAAAACAAGATTTTTAAAAATAAAATAATGGAAGCACTGTGATCTTAGTGACCATCAACTGCAGGCTCACCTTGAATGAGCAGGTACTTTGTCTGAATAAAGGTAATAATAAATGAAGTGGATTGGGACCTGTGTATAGCTCTGCTTCACTCTGTAATTAACAAAGACTATTAGAATCTGAACAATAAATTAGGCTGACTACTTAAAATAAAAGTTTACAAACTAAATTTCATTCCTACCTTTGGCTTGTCATGAATTTCTGGTAAAAGACACTGATACTTTTCATGATTTTCTGTTGTTACTACCATGGATTCAGAACCTGGTAGCTCCTGAAACAGAAAAATGTGTGATGTGTGAGCAAGTGTTATCTAGACTAGACTGACTTTTTGCAAATGGTTAACCTCCAAATCTGTGCATTGTAGAAATGTTTTCTCAATAATGGTATGCATTTTAGATTCATGGCGTTTAGGGAAAATTCATATAGACATTAATTATTAATTAAAATGAAGGAATCTGACAATAGTTTATCGAAACATAGCAAAAAGAGAACAATACAGCATGACAACAGACAGACGACATTTTATCAACATACCGGTATATCGCCACGTCCTGGCCAATTAATTTTAAAGAGAATTGTGTCATCAAAAGGTCTAGAATCAAAACACTTGCAATAATCTGTAAGACACGCCGAAAGAAAAAAAATTGCCGAATACAGCGAAAACCGTTTTGAATCCATTTTTGTGACAGTTCTACCCAGGTAAGAGCTACGTTACGTTGCGTTTGGAATGCCGATTCGTGTTCTTTTGCCATTCGCTGTTTGGGTTCAAGTGTTCTATCTCTCTCTACGTCCTTCAAATTGCTTTAAACTTAGACTGAACGACAGAGATGGGAGAAGTCTGTCCCGTCGAGGTTCATATTCATTTTCCCCATCCCGGACTTTGCCGAAGCCGCAGCTATCGATCGCCTCCCGAAGCTGGTTTTCCGAACGCCGAACCAAAAAGTAAACTTAACCTAGTGGCAGTTATGTTCTGCTTTTGACAGAAACAGTAAAACTTTGTTTTGTACTTGTTGTATGAGATTGGACACCATGACAGTGTAAACCTCAACACATTTTGGCAGTGAGAAACAAGACGGCGGCACGTTTCTCAACTGTGAAATGGAGTTACTAAACAATCAACCTGCTGGACAACCAGACACTGTGTTGTGGTTTGTGTTCCTTTTAGATCCTGATTCCCTTGAAACTCATTTAAAACAGGATGATGCAGGTAGAAATACGAGATTTATCGTGTTTAGTGTGAATTTTCTTCTGTATTGTGTTTTTTTATAAAACATGCCTCTACCTCCAGATCCCACTCCAACGGAACTTATTTGTAAATTTCTTACGAATAGTCAAGCTCTTAACGAAGCAGCTCCCAGGAGTAGAAAAAACCTTGCCCTGAAGATTCTTTCATTGAAGGTCGCAGCTCATCTGAAATGGGATATGTCAATTTTATTAGAAAGGTATAACAAATACTTCTTCTTGTAATGAACTCTGTATACAATTGCTTGTATAATTTTTTCTTTATAACTGTTTTTGTCTCCAATAGATTGCCTTTGAATATGCAGTACATTCTTCTCAAAGATCTTTTGTATATGTCAAGACAAGAAGAGGCAGATCCATCCACTGATACGTCTTTGGATTTCAATGAAGTATCTCCCCAGGTTTGGTTTATTGGTGATGTTATCTAATGTTAACTTTGCATTCATGTTTAAATAACCTCTTTGCAATTTTATTTTTTTTAGACACTTTTTTCTGTTGTTCTTTTCCACCGGTGGGTCTTGTGTGCTCTGGTGAAACAAAACATTTCTTTTAATAGTACACAGAATGGAAACAGCAACCTTAATACAGGCCGAACACCAGCTGGAGTTGCTCCAAAGTAAGTTATCAATTAATGTTTTTTGCTCTGGGGATGGCAAAATTGTATTTTCATTTTCCACTCTTTAGCGGTGCCGCCTCATCCGAGATATCACCGGAGGATGTTCTACGTCTTTTGGAGAAGCAAGCACCAGGGAGTGTTGACGTTTTACATAGGGCTGTTGCTTCTCAACCCCCATCTATATCCATTCCCACTTTTAAAACATTCAAACCATTGACAGAAGATAATGGAGATATTGATTTGCTGTGGGATACATGTGAACAACTTACCCTTGATGAATTTCGATGTCAAGTGTGTATTGTTTTTGAAAACTGGTTTTTGCACTACTTCATCCTTTTTACTGATCATATTTCTTTCATTTCTGCAGTTGCACTATGATCTTGGAGTATACTTTATGTTCAAACAAGAAATAACCATAGCAAGAGAACATTTCACCTCATGTGATCTATTACTTAGTCAATGCACAGGCATGTCAATTTACCGCAGTGTGTCGAGAGTTAAACTAGATGGTTATCGAATAGCTTGTGGGGTGTACACCCCACCATCCCAATCAGCTTTGTTGTGTCAATTCCATGCTTCAATCAAGCAACATTATATGGTGAGTGTTGGTGTCTTAGTGTGTGCCGATTTGGCTCATGGGAATGTGCCCAGAATCGTTACTGCCCAGTGGTGGTCATTTTTCTTGAGTTGCCACTGAACATTTCTTTTTTATATTCTTGCCTTGAACAGTTGTTATAGTTAGCCCTCCCACCTCACTTGTCTGTGTTTCATTGCTTGTTATAGGAGTGGCCATCTCTGGGCAGGTCAATCTCTTAAGAATTATTATTTACCTGTTGCTGTTTAGCTTACGACTGATCTAAGTTTTTAATCATCTGTTGCGCAGGGCATAGTTAATATTTTGGTGCAAGATAATAAATCTCTAGAGATTCCAATGGTTCATAGGGAGCATCTTGAGTTGGATATTCAAGGTGCTGTGCAAAGTGGTACTTTCACTGTTGCAAGAGATCTGCTAATTCAAATTCAATGTTTAAATGTGGCAAGACGCCTTATGGGTGGGCATTTAATATGTCAGGATTATTCACATCATATTCGTGTGGCTGGTCCAAAGGGGGCAGACTTTCTTCTTTCTGTAAGTATTTACAAGTACAAGAATCTGTGCTTAGTTGATAAATTGTTGTTACTGTACTTATATCTTTTCCTCCCTTAAAATAGTTTTTAAAGCCACTTTTGAGTGAGTCCACAAATTTGGCTTTTAAAAGTGATGATATTGCTCGAAAATTTAGAGTCAAAACGTTTCTTCGAGGGTTACTAGAAGCAGGAAATCAATCAGCACTTGTCAAAGCTATATTTGACTCTCCAGAATTTGGTGCTCTTTTTGAGCCCAATGAACTCAGTCAACTCAGTGGAAAGAGTGTTGATATTTCCATACCTGCTATGCTGTCTTCCAGTTCCTGGGACATTCCAGATTTAGGACCAAGGCGTAAGTGAAAACACCGTAATTTAGATTAATTTTTTTTAACACTTCTCTTCTAAATTGACCAGGGAAGGCCTGAACCAGCAGGGTGACCACTTGGCACCAGCATTATTGACCGCATTCCCCCTTTGGTCCAATCAATCAATCAATTAATCATTTTTGTAGGTAATCCACGTTTGGAAATGGGAGCTTTGGAACAACAACTTATTCAATCATATGATCCTGAGGAAATACGTCAATTGTTGTCAAAACTCTCTAGCATGCCATCTGTTAAATCTCAGGGTAAAGCTATTTGGCATGTGAACAGTAAGGTTAGTTAGGAAAGAAAAATATTATGACCTTTACTTTTGATTTCATTTTCAAAACCCTATGTTTCTTATCACTTGTGTTTCAGTGGGAATTGCCTATCCCAGTGCACAGTGTAGTAATGAATTTACCGAAAGGATTTGTTCAAGAGTTTTGCTATATTCTTTTGGCTAAAGCCCATGAACTGGCATCTGTTCAGGTAAAATGGATTTTAGTAAAATTTAACTCAATTCCTTAAACTTATTCAAAACTCTCAAACATTTTCTAATTTTTTCCACTTATTATTTAAAGGAATACTCCTTGGCTTTGAGAATGTATGCCATTGTTGAAGAGGAACTGAGAAAAGGTCACAGTATTCCCTCTGTCGTAAAATTAATTCGGCTTTGTGGGTGGGAGGCTTTGGTTGTAGAAATAACTCAGTTTCTTGATGAATGGCCTGCTCACAACTCACGTAAGTGTCGACCCCAATTTACAGTAAAGTTCCATAACTTACCCTTTTTTTAGCGACTTTAAAGAAAATAAATTTTGTTTCAGGCTCAATTGAACTTGCAGAAGCCTGCAAGGCCTGCCTTTCAGCTAGACAAGCTGGAGAAGCACTCATTCCTCGCTTGGAGGTTGTGGAACGATGTGTTGTAATGCTTTTGAATGTCAGTCCATCTTTATCTTCTGTTGGTTCACCACTTGATTTCCTAACAAAGCTAGACAGACATTGTGTTCATGTTGAACTAGCTGCTGCATTTGCTTATGCCTGTCAAGATATCATACGTCAGAAAGGTGGTCGGCATGTTTCACGGGATGCTTGGGATCTTGGTATGTTTTATTATTAAAAATTGAATTGTTCTTTACTTTTTTAAATTTATGTTTTTTGTCACAGTTGTGTTTTACTGTTATCAGTGCAGTATTGTTACTGTTAGTATCATTACTTTTTGAATTAATGTCTCTTCGCCTATGTTTTGTGTTAGTTTTGCCAGTGTTTCTTAGAGAGACTACCAAACGTACAAGTTCAGGGATTCCTATTCATCATTCCCATAGAGACTCCCCAGTAAGCTCTGGGGGACTCAACTCATCAACCTTGTGGGCGTTTCTTTCTCAACTCAGAGATCCCACCATGATCACATTAGCTTTGTCATTACTTGCTCGAATACATAATGTGCTTCGAGATGATTCAAAGTTTGATATAAATGTTGACTATGTCAATCTTTGGCCAGCCTCTATTAGTGGGCAAGTATTCCAACTTAATGTTCTTTTCTAGACTTATTTGTTAAGTAGATGTATAGTTTATTGTTTACCTTCTTCCAGTCCCAACTCATATGCTAGTAAAGGAGTTGCTGAGATGCTGTACCAGCTTTTAGCCCATGCCCTAAAATATAATCCTATCCATGTAGGCTGGCTTAAAGTTCAAGGAGACCTCAATTTCGGTTTGTCTTTACATTCTTGGTTCAGTAGCATTATTATGATGCATTTCTAAGTTGATTTAAAATTTCTATTTTTTAATTATTTTTTTAAAAATTTCCAGTCATGAATCACTTATCATCAGCTTTGAAATCGTACTTAGAAGCAGCAATAGCTGCCACAGATTTCTTTAGTCAACCTTTACAGAGAATGCAAATTGATGATCATGTTATACGCCGCATGATAAAATGCTGTTCATTGCTTCAGTGCCATACTCAAGTATGATAACTACTCTCTTTTTAAACATTTATGTCCCTTTTCTATCACTATTCAATGACTGGATTTTACAGGCAGCAGTTCTTTGTCAATTTTTAGAAGAAATTGACTACACTACAGCTTTTAAGTGCATTGGTGAAACTAAGGGTGGAAGTTGTGCAGATGCTATGGATTCGTACTATGAATGTGTATGGGATACAACCCTGCTGGAATACCTAATACATCTCCATACTAAAAGAGGAGAAACCCACCGGAAGCAACTTGCTGTAAGTTTTTCTTTTGAGCTCCTGCTTTCATGTGGTTTGATTTTATTTTCATTACTTCTGTTCTTTTACTCAGATCCAAACAATTGGTCTACTCGAATTAAACTCTAACAATAATGAAGAAATTCAACGGGAGGCAGTTAATATTCGGAAGGCAAAATTTCTGAGAGCATTAGCTCATCAATATGTTTGTTGATATATGCAACTATAATTTTATATCTTAATAAAATCAAAAGAAAGTTTAAGTATGTCATGAGGAAAATGAATTCAAAGATAAATAAATACATGTCCTGCAATTATAATGAAAGTACTTATATTTAGCTTTTATCACGAAAATCGTAAACAAATACAGTACCACTTTGCACTTCGGTGACAATTTGCAGAGCCAGATGAGATAAAAATTATTTACAGAGCCAACAGGAGGAATGCCATTTAAAATCAGTGCAGGGCAAATTACAACCACACCATGTAGGGTTCATTAGATATAATCTTTGGTACATTAACCATACACTATCAATATATCAATTTTGGAACTTGGCATTTTTAACATTTCATGCATCTAGAACATTTATGTAATCTGAACAATAATTATTAATGAAAGGTACATTGGTGGAACTTCATACAAGGTGATATGCCCTTTGTCCCACATAAAAAAGAGAAAAAGAAAAGAAAACGCATTTCTTTGCCAAAGATAACTGTTTATGAATCACAGGAGAAAAGAGGCCAAAACATCAACAGACAACCAGTTGGTGTAACTGAGTTTGAGCACCTCGTCCTAAAAGAGTTTAGCCAATCAAATATACAAACATTTGCTCAATGTCCCATCACCCTATGCCAAAAGCGTCACAATCTTGACCACTAGCTTAAAAATAAAATTCTCAATAGTGATGAGATCATGACGCATGAATTACAACAGCTACTTTATCAACTGCTTTCTTCAGGGTTGAGCTTAGTCCCTTCTATTCTACTTTATATACACTGCATAGGATGGGCATGGCATTTCACCTTGAACAGCCCCGCGATATTTAAATGCTCACTCTGCTGCGACTTTGTTGGCATTTCCTCGAAGAACCCTTTTTGCTGGTGGCTCCCCATTTTCTTCCATCTAAACAGAGTGAAAGATATTGTTAGCAACACTCAAAAATTTGCTTTCATTTCTTGCCATTGAGCACAAAAATGATCAATATGGTAATCTAGATGGCATGTTTACTTACTTGTACATCAGTCTCATTAGTTGTGTTCTCCAGTTTGCGCCCACGAAGTTTGCGACCTCCAGTGGTGTTTGTCACTGGTAAGGGTTTTTCAATTGTAGCTGAAGTATTTGTAGCAGCTGGAGCTGATGTTTTCTCATTGGTGTTGTTGCTATTAGTATTGTTAGTATTGGATGAAGAATTACTATTTACAGGAACAGTCTTCTTAACAGTTGGGTTTTGTTGGTACATTTCAGGAGGAAGATAATGACCAGTATTCACAAAATTGGGATCTTCGTGTCTCTTAAAATACATTGTAGGTATTCTTGCCTCAGTTATAAACTCCTTCAACTCAAAAGTTGTGGACTTTGTATTCAGTAAAATCATAGCCAGATCACACACTGCCCACATTTTCTGTAAAACAAAAGTGATATAGGTCATCATACATAAAGACAACAGAATAAAATATATCAAGTATAGTTACTAGAATGAGAAGATAATGATTATATACTCACTTCATTGAACCCGGATGTCTCACCCTTAAGAGCATCTTTATGGTTTTTCATACGCTCTACAACATCTTTGTAAAAACTATAGCTATAGAAGTCATTTTTCTGCATTAATGGTTCCAAAACAAACCATAAACATTGTCTTATTGTATTGAGTTCATCAATATCCTCATTGCTTTTGTATTCCGGGTGGTGAGTGAGAACAGGGACGGCAAATACTAGCATATAATCCGGCAAAATGTGTTTAAGTTGGCTCATTGCCTTTTCCATGGACGCTGCAAAACAATAATTGATTATAATTTGATGAAAACAGATAGATACATAATATAATTATTGACAAAATTACTAATATATACCAGCAGATGCACCCATTGTAAGTTGTTTGATGTAATCTCTTCTTTTATTAATATCT